TAATCATTGAAGCATGAGATTTTATCTCAAATAAAACACAAACTTAATCTTTTGAAGGATACTAAACAAATTATGCAGTCAAGAAATGAAAGCTTTCCAGGTTCAGTATCTCAACTTAATATTTTATCTTTTCTGTCAGACCATCTGCAACAGTTTCACAATTCCAACTGAGTTGGCCGCAACAAGCATGTTAGATTTGTTTCTCCAGCAAACACTAGAAACAAACTGTCCACTATTATCACCACTATTTAGATGACCAGAAATAGGATCAATTGACTCAAATTTGTGAGAAGCAATTGGCACTGGCAGTGATTTGTGATAACAGTACACCTGAAAGGTAGAAATGTTTAAAATGAATTACAATTTATATCAAAGTTTAAGGATGTATTTAACCCTTATATTAAATTCCTGACCTATATACCAAGCATCTTTCACAAGGTATAAAGAATTATGCTCGGTGATCCAGAAGATATAATTTTTTAATCTGTATTAGGACTTGTGATAACAAAGCTTGATTTTTTTCAAGATCAGTAAGACAATTCATAAAAGAACAAAAGCAAAACTAATCATACATACGTATATGATGAAAGCAATAACAAATCTATGTAAACATTAGCCTATACACAACTTCATTCCATGATCAGGCTCCTAAATAAGCATAAAGTAACCCAAAAGAGATAAGAAAATTCAACTAATTTCTTTTCCCACATATAGTGCAGATTTTGTAATATTTTGCCGGCTTCATGACAATCTGCATCCAAGGGTGAACTCAGACTATTATTCCATTCCATATTGCAAATTCAAGGATATGAATAAAGAAAATCCATACCTCATTAGATTCTGAACCACATGCAATGTATCCATCCAAAACAGATAATCCCACAAAATTCTGCAGAAGAAGAAGATGATAATGATGAAAGATAAACAGATTAGAAGAACAAATAAAAGAATACAGAAGAGTGTGGTAAAATATGTTGAGAGACCAACCTTTTCATTACTATGACCTTTATAATTTAAGACACAAGAATCAGATGACAAACCAGAAGAGCTGGTTTTCTTCAGGTCCCAAAGCTTCAAGGAGTTGTCAGTGGAAGCAGAGACAACTGCTTCAGCATCTATAAATTTTACATAACTAACAGCTTTGCCATGACCAGCTAATGTGCACCACGGAATCCTAGTGTGACGAAGATCATAACCATAAACCTTGTAATCAGCTGATCCAAAAAATAAAAGATTTGTTGAGTAAGAAGAGAACTGAACACAGCATATATTGGCAGGGTTCCAGATGGTTCCCAGAGAATTTTTCTGCACAAACAATAGCATATCAGACAATTAGTATGCAGTATGAAGCAATAGCATTCAAAAGCATATTTTCTATCACATAGTTATGTTTCTCTTCATATCATTCTTTTTATTTTCTAGGGAAGAGGAAAAACAACATGAAAAATATTCTACTATTCAACTTCAAATAATATAAATACCAATGCTTTACTCCCTACATTCCAAAACTATAATTGTGTAACCTAGTTCACGGCCTTTAAGAAAACATTAACCATTACATCTGTAGACTAGAATATCCCAATTTAATGTAGCATTTTAGTAAAATTTAATGCTTTAGTGGATATAAATAAGGGTACAAGTATTACAAATGCTATCTTGGATTTCTAAAACAGCATATTTTTGGAACAAAACTAAATTGTTACTATTAAATGCATAAAAGAAAGCATGCCTCGCTGATATTCCACAGTTTGACAGAGCAGTCATCACTTCCACTAGCAAACATTTTTGGGTCTGACAGAGAAAAATGAACAGACCAAGCTCTCTTTTGGTGCTCCATATATTGGGACAATGGCTGACCAGTGTCTGCATCCCACATCTGAATTCATCCATACAAATTATGTTATTAATGTCAATGAAACCTAAGAAACATTCAAATGCAAAGGCAATAAAAGTTTGGTTAGTATGAATGAAAGGAGACAACACAAATTTGGTTTTCATCAGTGTTTCAGTAATTTTAGTCCTTGGAAATATCATAATTTTGTTTTAATACCACTAACAAAATGTTAGTTTTAAGTCTTCACAAATTGTAAAAGTTTTTAAAGAGGTACCTATCATTATTCATGTTAAGTTGATAATGTCTGCATCTGAAACCAACTAACATGACATGTCTAATTGTGTGTGGACTAAGAAAATTTTGTTATATTTGCATAGACTAAAACATATTAAACCATTTCATCGATTATAGTTCTAATGATGCAAGGTATACACACCTGAACAACACCATCATAGTCAGTAGATGCCAGATGATTTCTAATATTGGTGTTCCAACACACACAGCTAAGCTTTGATTTATTTGTCATCTCAACCAATGGGTACTGAATGTCAACAGAATCACTTGAAATAGCATTGAGGTCAAAAATCTTGATTTTCTTTGAAACTCCTCCTGCTGCCATGTAATCTTCATCACGGTCAAAACTTAAAGCACACATTACATTGGAAGAACTAAGCAGATCTCTATTTCTTAATCTGCCACGCTCTTCAAACTTGCTGTAACGAGCAAACTTGCATAAACCTTCAAAGAAGGATCCTAGACAACCAACAGAAGTATTTATTCTTCTAGGCTCCTTATTTGCATGCTCTTCTTGAGGCAATCTCCATCTATTTTCCATCAGATTTTTATCATTGCTTGGAATAGATGAAGCATCTTTTGGCAGGACTCGGATTCTTGTAGAAAAGTAAGAATTCTCTAGCTGACTTATGTTAGCCATAAATCTTTCTTCATCACCAAATGACCTTTGAATGGATCTACTGATGTCTGAACTAGAAGAATCTTGAAAATGCAAATTTCTCTCACTCACTTCTGAATTTTTCATTTGTGCCAAAGGAAATACTGAATCTGTACCAAATGAATATCTTCTTTCTACCTCCTGAATATCTTCATTCAACAAATTTAGATGTTCTTCCAACTTGGAAGCCTGTATCATCTTTTCTTCTTTGAGTGAAGTTAGAAAATGTAGTAATTTATCTGTTTCAGCCTCATCATCAGATATTCCAACATCTTCTATAGAGCTTGATTCCTCTGATTCTCGTATAAACTCAGATTCTAAAATGATCCTGTTGTACATAAGAGAAGAATTAAAAAATTATAATATAAATAGAAGCTTCTTCAACATCTATATAAATATTCTTTTATCTGTATGATTGATTGAGACAGTCATATAGAGTTTGTGTAGTTAGCACCACTCATTTATATCAGTGGCCATGTAACAAATGATGTCCTAAGTTCCTCTCAATATCAGTATCTCACTACTATCATCATCCATCATGAAGCCATTGAAAGATGACACTTTCAGAATACATTCTTGAGTAAGAAAAATTATACAAATTCAAATGAGGCAGAAAGGTATTGACAAACATAAGAAAGAGAGCATTTTACATCACCTAGCATTAGGACGAGAGGATGGTTCAGGATGCAGAAGCCAAAGACAAATGCCAGCTTCCTTTGGATTTTCTGCTAGAAATTTAGGTGGTAAGATTCTATGACATAACTCCAACATCGCAGTTGAATGTGCCTCCCTTGACTCAATAGTGCACAGCAACTGAGAATACCATCCACATAAATGTTAAAAAGATTAACATATTTAAACGGTTAATGTTTGAATATGATTAATAGCAACTTAAATACTTAAAATGATCAACATATATAACTCTAATCCAGAAAGTTCAATCCTCCATAACTCATGTTTCAATGTCAATTCTAAAGTTTTGGTACTGCATGTCAAACAGATGTTTTGTTTGGAATTAATTTCTTGCTGGTTGCAGCAACCAAAATCTCATCATTTTCATGAACATGTTCAGAAAAAAAAAATAATGAAGCATATTGAAACCCTATGGTTAGTTTCATTATTGAAATCCAACACAATCATTTGGCTTCCTATCAATAAAAATAATATATGATAAAGCTTTATGAAAGGTATCAATGTGTGAGACAATATTTTCTTACTTCAAAAAGAAGAATTCCAAGGCTATAAATATTAGATGACAAGGTGCAGACTCCATCATTCAGCATTTCTGGACTACAATACCACTTCTCTTGTAATGGAATGCTAGCAGACATAAACTGATTTTGTTTGGTAAACGTATGTTGACAATTAGAAATATCTTTACTCCTTGATTCCAAGGATCTGACTGTGTCAGAGTCAGTTTGATTCACTATTGTCCTGAAGCCATGAGTAAAGGAGCATTGATGTGACTGCCCAGAAGATCCTGTCTCTTCAAACAGCTTTTGCTGCTTTGTACTTGAACTTTGGCAAGCACAGGTATTCTGTTCCAGAGGCCTTTTCCTAGTCACATTACAGGTCATGAATTCATTGCCTAACCGTTCTTGACCATATGAACCAATGTACTTAATCTTACTTGAAGACAATAAAATGAAACAAGATGGGCAAATGTCTAGCAAGACAAGTCCTTGGGAGTGTGCAAAATCAACCAATTCCAATACCTGCTTGAATATATGAATTTTTCTTAATTTCTTCATGTTATGACATTCAGATTTCAGCCACTCTCTTAAGTTTATTTCATTGCTACCAGACACTACATTTTCTTCCACTAAAGGCTTATTATCATCATCATCAACATTTGATCTCCTCAGTGTATCAGATTGAAACTTGGCTGCAAAAGATTTCTCATCCTCCAGATTCTTGTGTCCTCCTACAATGCCGAAGCTTTTGTCTTTTAAATCTTCACAAATAACCTCCTTTCCCTTCCTTGTTTGCTTTACAATCAACTGAGGATAATTATATGCAGATGAAGTACTCTGGGTCATACTGCTAATAAGATGTGCATTGTTTGAGATTATAATCTGATTTACAATATTACCAGACAAAGGCTTCAGGTCCCAAACTTCAAAATCCTTTCCCTTAAGTACCTTACTTAATCTGAATGGTATCTGTTCTTCAACCTTGGAAACAACTTCTCTATTTATGTCATTATACTTAGACTCAACCGTCAATTGATTCCTTGTCTGTATTGAATTATGTGGGAGAGTAACTAAATCCGGGTTCTTGCTCTTATAATTCCTAATAGCAGCAGACAACTTTTCAACAATGTGTTCAGAATCTAAACCAGAACACAAACTAGTACTAGGAAGTCCAGATCCAGCGAAGGAAATTACATACCTATTCATACCATTGTCCTGATTACCAATCACATTGTCATTTGGCAAATTTTCAGACAATTCCTTCTTAATAGGTGTGCACAATCTAGGTGACCTTGACATGTTTTGCTGACCCCCATTCTTAAGAAAAGAATCATTAGTTTTTCTCTTGTGCTCGTCAGTCCCAGTCCCAGTCCCAGTCCCTGTCCCACCATTTGCAGTACTCATGTCTTCTAGCAAAACTCATGCACATCCAAATGCAGTTCCTTCCATTAATTTGAAAGAACTGCACCAGAAGATTTAGAACAGTGAGATCACAAAAAATAGTTCAGAGAACAAACTTCAACATAATTATAATGAGAAACTATGAAAATAGAAACTGAAAACCTAGACACAGTTTTAGTAATACAATACTTAGACTCATTACGGTCAGCCGATACAAATAGATGTCAAAATTTTCAAAGGGGACATGAGCATGCATGTACTGAAGCTGTTCAATTTGTTATAACCAGAGATATAATTTTTGTGTCAGATGACAAAATATAAAGTTAACCATTTAGCTAACATGAAATATAGAGAGTTACGATTGTGTGCAGAAAGAACAAATGAAAACACCAATGAAAGAACAAGTTGTAAGCAGCATGATAGAAAGAGATATCAGAGACCAATGGATAAAATAAACTGATAAAGAGAATGATTTAGATGGTTACCTCACAGTTAACAAGAGTTCCTCTCAGAAAAGAAATATCTTGGTACAAAACTGACAAACAACTAGTACAATGAAACCAATAAATACATGAATTGAGAGAAAAACTTAGGTTGTTTTTGGGTTAGATATTTATTATAATTATTATGGACACAATTTAGTAGTTTTTTCTTTTCATTAATTAGATTCGGAGCATATAGGACTGTCCACGTCTGAGGCCAAAAGTACTGCCACGATATCATGTTGCCGCCGCCAGCTACACAAATTTAAATGAAGTATAAATCAATATTTTTTTTTATCAATTGATGTTTTTTTATATTTTTATTAAGGTGGTCCAAGTGACTACGTCAACTATCTAATGTTTTTTTTAAACTTTTTTTTTTCTTATGTGATCAAAGATTAGTCTTTTCATTACTGTAGAGCCTAGTGGTTTAGAATTTCATCCTATTTGAAACTTTATTTACATTAAAGAAAGATAAGTTTAAAGTTAAGATATTTCTATGGTCTTAAATATAATCATAGTAGTTTCATTTTTTATTTTACTTCCTGTTATAATTTGTAGAAACTTGACTTGTTTCTTAAGCTTTTTTCCAATAATAAAAGTAATATGATATTTATTACTCTATTCAGTATAAATTAAGATTTGTAGCTAAAATCTAAGCTGAACTCAATTTAACAACAAACATAAATTGAAAGACCTGAACGATTTTGTGTTAGTATTTAATTAAAATTTATAATCAACATGATTTTTAAAATCATTTTTATAAAAATTAATAAATTTATACAATAATTTATAATCAAATAAAAAATATATATAATATAATATAATCCTGTTTTTATAAAGAGAAAAATATTTGTGTTATATTTTGTATTAAATGATTTAAATATTTTTAAAATTAAATTATTAATTTTGGAGAAAAACATGTTCGGTGGTTACTAAGATGACACGACGCTATGCATGATTCTAAGTGTCAGCGGTTGCAAGTGGCAGTATTCAAGTATTTGTAATGAATGTTAGTATTAACATTAAAAAAGTTAAAGAGGTTTACAGTAGTTTGGTAAATCTACTTTACACGTGCCACTGATATTCTTTGAGTTGCATATATGTGGCTTGTGTTGGGACTATGCACATAAAGAACCTGTCTCTCGTGTTGTGTAGAAGAGAAAATAGTATTTTACATGTTAAATTATTGTTTAATAATGATTTGATTATCATTCCTTTGAAAAATAATAAAAAATGCAAATAATATGAAAACGAAAACCTAAAATAATATTAAACTAAGTTTAGTGTTTGTTATTAATCAAAACTTTACTAAAACTAAAGTTAGTTTCATTTGTTATCATCTCTTATATTTTCATAATTCTTTATGGGAGTTAATAGGTGAAAAGATTTAAAAGTACATGAATTATTAGTTTCATTGCTCAAGACACTTAACCTCTTACCTTTACCTTTTATTGTATGGTTGCTCTTTAGAACCTATGGATATAAGAGACAAAGGAATGTGAACAAAACAATACAATACAAGGAAGATGATATAACAAGAACCCTTAGAAACTTGCCATTGAATACAAGTTTAATTTATGAAATGTAAAAGAAAAGTTTGACGCGCATAGTTTTAATTACATGCTAAAAACAAGAAAGCATAAAATATAGTAATACTTCCTTTGTATGAAGCAAGTTCCAAACAAATAATAAAACATGCATATATTTTGTTTGAGAGATGATATAACACTCTTCAGTTTGTTTTTACATTTGATAAACATTTATATGCTTAGATGATACCCACGTATAGATAAACATTTATTATATGTGTAGATGATACGCATATAATTTTTATATAAATATTGCATTTTATATATATCTGTATGCTTATTTTATATTATACAAAATGTTTTTTTCCTATATTTAATCAAGAAGATTTATGTTAAAACTTTTATATGAATTTTTTAACTCATATTAAAACTACTTTGCTTCACCAATTCTTTGTCATTTGCTTTGTCAACTTTAGAATGGACGGTAAAAAATCTATAATTTTACAGCAACATTTTTCTTCTAAGCTTATGTAAAGTCATCTTCCAAGAAAGAGAGTATAAGTATTCAAAATGAAAANTTACTAAGATGACACGACGCTATGCATGATTCTAAGTGTCAGCGGTTGCAAGTGGCAGTATTCAAGTATTTGTAATGAATGTTAGTATTAACATTAAAAAAGTTAAAGAGGTTTACAGTAGTTTGGTAAATCTACTTTACACGTGCCACTGATATTCTTTGAGTTGCATATATGTGGCTTGTGTTGGGACTATGCACATAAAGAACCTGTCTCTCGTGTTGTGTAGAAGAGAAAATAGTATTTTACATGTTAAATTATTGTTTAATAATGATTTGATTATCATTCCTTTGAAAAATAATAAAAAATGCAAATAATATGAAAACGAAAACCTAAAATAATATTAAACTAAGTTTAGTGTTTGTTATTAATCAAAACTTTACTAAAACTAAAGTTAGTTTCATTTGTTATCATCTCTTATATTTTCATAATTCTTTATGGGAGTTAATAGGTGAAAAGATTTAAAAGTACATGAATTATTAGTTTCATTGCTCAAGACACTTAACCTCTTACCTTTACCTTTTATTGTATGGTTGCTCTTTAGAACCTATGGATATAAGAGACAAAGGAATGTGAACAAAACAATACAATACAAGGAAGATGATATAACAAGAACCCTTAGAAACTTGCCATTGAATACAAGTTTAATTTATGAAATGTAAATGAAAAGTTTGACGCGCATAGTTTTAATTACATGCTAAAAACAAGAAAGCATAAAATATAGTAATACTTCCTTTGTATGAAGCAAGTTCCAAACAAATAATAAAACATGCATATATTTTGTTTGAGAGATGATATAACACTCTTCAGTTTGTTTTTACATTTGATAAACATTTATATGCTTAGATGATACCCACGTATAGATAAACATTTATTATATGTGTAGATGATACGCATATAATTTTTATATAAATATTGCATTTTATATATATCTGTATGCTTATTTTATATTATACAAAATGTTTTTTTCCTATATTTAATCAAGAAGATTTGTGTTAAAACTTTTATATGAATTTTTTAACTCATATTAAAACTACTTTGCTTCACCAATTCTTTGTCATTTGCTTTGTCAACTTTAGAATGGACGGTAAAAAATCTATAATTTTACAGCAACATTTTTTTTCTAAGCTTATGTAAAGTCATCTTCCAAGAAAGAGAGTATAAGTATTCAAAATGAAAAAATGTTTAATTATTGACAAAATATTTCCCAGCCTAAATAGCTTTACAAAAAATATTGCTTGTTTGTTCATTTTAGCAAATTAGTAATAAGTGTTTAACCTACTAAACACTAAAAGATACAATCTTTTTCTAATGAGTTAAACATGTGATTTGTTGACCACAAATACATTTACTTTGTTTTGAGTAAAGAGAGACTTGATGTTTAAAGAATACTTGTGTTAAATCATTCATGAGTGACTTGTTATTGAAACAATACTTGAATGGATTAGCCAAGAGTAGCTAAAGTCTTAAAGAATGCTTAAACTTTTTACGTAAGAGTGGTTAAGTATTAAAGAATACTTAATGGGGTTAACTAGAAGTGGATTTGATTCAAAAGAATACTTATATGAGGTTATGCAGAAGTGGATTCAATTGGAAAGAATACTCATTTGTGTTTTACATTAGTAGTTTACCCAAATGAAACTTGACTAGTTGATAAAAAAAACTAAATGTAATTTGCATTATCAGACGAACCAATATAAAAGTACCAAGTAATCTCTTCCTAATATGTTATATTGTTTATTGGGTTAACTAAAGAAAAAGAACATATATGAAAAAGTATTTCAAAAATTTATTGATAAATTATAGGGTTAAATATGTTTTTAGTCCCTAAACTATTGACCGTTTCTGGTTTTCGTCCCTCT